GTGGGGTAACCCCCCATCACAGGCCCCTCTCCACCCACCTCCTGCTAAGCGGCTGGGCTTGGCCTGAGAGTGTCCGTACTGTAGTCCTGGCCACATGCTCAGTGTCCTGATTCAGCGTCTCGGGGCTCAGGCGGATGGAAAGAGACAGAACTGTGTTTTCAGTGGCGTTCCCGGGGCTCTGGGTGGAGATCTGTGGCCTTGGCCAAGGTGTGCAGTGGTCAGAGGAGATTGGAGGACAGTGGATGCAGGGGAACTCCCAGGAGATTCCCCAGAAACTTGAGGCAAGAGCTGTCTAAACACCGTGATCAGAGCATCCAGGGTCCGGCCAATGATGCGTGTGCTGCTTGCAGGGTGAACGACTGCGTCCTGCGGGTAAATGAAGTGGATGTCTCTGAGGTGGTGCACAGCAAGGCAGTGGAGGCGCTGAAGGAAGCAGGCCCAGTGGTTCGACTTGTGGTGCGTCGGAGGCAGCCCCCACCTGAGACTATCCTGGAAGTTAACCTGATGAAAGGACCCAAAGGTGAAATCTCTTAAAGGGCAGTAGCCTAACCCAGCCCCTGTCACCTGGGCAGAAATGGCCTGGGGGGCTGTGGGTCAGGACTGAGGGGCAGCAGCAAGCTGTGTGGGGCCTGGGAAATCACGGTTCAGGATCTGTGCAGCACAATTTTCCCTGCGCCAGTTGAACAGATGTGTTGGTATAGCAACGCTTGGTAGTCAGAGCGTACTGGCCTCTCCATACGTCCCTGTTTGCTCAGGGACCAGAGCCCACCATCCTCTCCATCTGCTCCATGTGCTTAGCCAAGCCCAAGTAACAGGTCACCAACAGGAGGAGCGGCATGAGAGCCTGGGCGGAGGAGCCATGGAGGGCGAGCCCATTGGCGCTGTAAATGCCCCATGTCCCCTGACAGGTGTGTTCCACTCACCATCTAGGGACTTTTCAATCTCCCCTCATTGCCTCTTGTGTCCCCTCAGGACTAGGCTTCAGCATCGCGGGTGGAATCGGAAACCAGCACATCCCAGGAGACAACAGCATCTACATCACCAAGATCATCGAGGGAGGGGCTGCTCAGAAGGATGGCCGGCTGCAGATCGGGGACCGGCTGCTGGCGGTGAGCACACGCACCTTCCTCTGGGCTCTAGAGACCGACAGAGGGAGGTGGGGATGCCAGGGGATGTCTCTGTGAGGTATCTGCTCTAAAGCCCTCTCCGCCTAGCACTGGCTCTTGCTCCATATACAGCCTGGGCTTTCCATTGCTCCAGAGCCCCTTTCTCCCCAGCAGAAGAGCACGAGCTCTCCTTCTCAAGGCCTGGGCACCAGGGGTTACATCGCTGTGCCCCAGTGGGCAATGAGCAGGAGATGTTAGTTTGTACCCACTAATAATTAGATTGCCATAAGGACAAAGTCCCAGCAGCTGGATCCCCTTCAGGGCAATGGAGAAGGGACAGGGGAGAGCTTGTTGCAGAACAGACCGATGGGTAGTGGCTACTTTGCATCACCAGGTGACACAGAGCAGCTGGTGAATGTGGCCTGCTGGATGTAGGATTGTTCCCGGTTGCTACTATCACTGTTTACTGACAAGGTGAATGTCCCGGCAGGGCTGGGGCCGGGGGCCCTGAGCGAATTCCCAAATATGACATTAATGACATGCCTGAGATTTGATGTGCACTGACGTCAGGGAGTCCCACAGCTCCCCGTGGCTGGGAAGGGACCGCACTTCGGGCACTGACTAAACAAAGGGTAGTTGGAGGATGATCATGTTCCAGTATTTTGGGATAGCGGTTGGGTGGGGTGGTGAGATGAGCAGCATGCAGACCCGGAGCGGGTACAACTGGCACCGTAAGGAGGAGTTTCTGTGTCATGAAGATAAACAAATACCCAGTGTGTAAAAGAGGGACAAGGTAAGTAGCCCGACTTCTGTTAGAGGAAGGGACAAGCTGTGAAGCTTCACAGAGCTCTTCCTCAGGTCTGGAGAAGGCAACCAGCATGTCCAAGCTAACCACAAGGTGGGACAGATTGTTAAGCATAAGAGGTTCACACATGCTGTAGGAGACCACTTAAAGTGAAGTGGGCAATTAAGGGTTAGGGGCAGAGGG